GGAAAAAGAGACAGCTACACGCTGTATCAGTTAGTTTTTGCTGCTCCATCTCATAGCCACCCCCCAAACTTAGCAGTCAGCTTGTGCAGTAGTAGCTGGGGCCGGCTGACTTACGAAGGAAGGCCTCTGCTAAGACAACCTGTTGACTAGGGCCTGTCTCCACCTGGTATTTCACTACCTAGCAGGCTCACCCAGGTTTCTTTACATGGTAGTAGAATGCACAAGCACTTTTCAGATCGCTTGCTTGCAGTATATTTGCTATTGTCTCAACAGCCAAACCGAGTCACGTGGCCAGGCCCAGAGTCATTGTGGAAGGGCACTACTACCATGTTTCCCCAAAAATAAGACCTAACCAGAAAATACGCCCTAGCGTGATTTTTCAGGATGCTTGTCATATAAGCCCTACCCCAAACATAAGCCCCGGTTAAGGTCGTCAGCCAGACATGACTGTTTGAATAAATGTAGATTTTTATACACGAATAAATGTAGATTATTGGAGCAAAAATTAATATAAGACCCGGTCTTATTTTCAGGGAAACACGGTAACAGGCGATGGTACCAGGAAGAAATAATTGTGGCCACTTCTACAGTCTGCCTTAGATACTAATGATGATAGCAATACAGATCTGTTTATGAGAATTATTATCAGTCTATAAAGTCAGAACAGGCGCTATAATTTGACTGGTGTTATTAAGGATGTGTTGGTCCCAGCCGGAGTGCTATCTCCTCCATCTAAACTTAATCCACCAGTGAACACTTAGTTGTTGAAAAAGACAAAGAATAGTTGGTGATTGACCTCCAACAATATTAGAAATCTTTAACTGAGTTGGGAGGGGCTGTTGTCATCAAATAAGAGAACTCAAATATGAAGAAAGCAGACGTTCTCATTTTCTCATCTAAACAGTGATAGAAATTAGACAAGTGATCATACATTCCTTTGATTTTTATGCCGTGCTTTAGAATTAGACCATAGAAAAGTTATTTTTAGTGTTTCGTCCCTGGTTTAAAGACCCGACTTTCTGAAATCCATCTGTATTGCACCTGAAAGGAATTAATGAAGCATCGTAGGAGTATATAGTACCAATTAATACAATTTTTGTTGTTGGATGTGATGCTTTCGTAAAAAAAAATAATAATGTCTTTATGGTTTATGTAAATTCCACAGGTGAACGTATTTTAACTTACCTATTTTCTATTCAGAAATGGTCATTTTCATTGATGAACTCATTTCAGCCATTTCTCTGTGCATATATA